ATCTGTCTTCTATTGTTTGTTTCTTTTCACCAACACATATCAAGTCACAGCTGGTGGCAATTTTTGGATATTATTATCGATTGCCATCCAACTAAAGAGCATAATCTATTACATCTTGGACAAAATGTAATATACATCATGGTGGAAGTCTGAATTATTTTATTTCATGTTGTATGTTGAAACAAACTGAGCTTATGATCAAAACCAATTTATTACTAATGGATAAAGAGCCATTTTGGTGAATGTTTTATGAAAAATTGAAAATATGGTACTAATTATTTGACCTGGGTATAAGTGTAAACAATGTAGTAGTTATGGAATTACTTGCTACGAAATCTGATTTCAGAGAATGCAAAATGTTTTGTTGGTTAAGATATTCAATAAACTAGACATACAATCATTTCCAATTATTTTGATGGCATATTAAGCAAGGAAATTGGTTTATAAATTGCCAGGAAAAAATTCCCCAAACTTTATGAACAGGAAAAATTCATTCCTGCTTCCAAATATGAAAAATATAATGAAGTGCTTCATCAAATACTAAAAATATGAATTAGTGGTTTCCAAATGTCATCTGCAGCTAATTATAATGATTGTAGTTTTAATTCCATTCAAGCATTTTGTTTTTATTTAAATCCAGTGTAATAGGAGCATCCAATCTATCTCTGTATCTTAGGCTTTGAGGATTTGAAATGTTGAAATTCCACAAAGTACAGTCTCCAAAAGGAGGAGCTCACAGCAAGGAAAGCCTGACAAGCTGCCACTGGGATGTGGGTCTTAGCAGCGTCACCATTCAAATTTAGAGGGAATAACATATGAAATGGAAATCTACATCCATGACTAACTTGAGCTACTCAGAGCTAACCTGCTGGCTCACTGCTTTCTGAACTTGCCTGTCTGTACTTCAAATGTTCAGAGAATGAAAAAGAGTGGTGCAGGGTGGCTAAAAACAAATTCACCTGTACAGGACAAGTCCAAATAATTAAATACTTCCAAATTCTGATGATAAACAGAAGAGACTACATGATCCAGATTAAGGAAAAGATCATCTGTAGACTTTACAAAATGATTAGTAAATAACTTCATCATTTGCTCAGGATCATTTACAAACTCATTACCCAGATCCAAGGATAATATCTTTGCTTTGGGCACAGCTCCAAGAAGGTCATTAACTACAATAGGAAATTGTTGGAGAAAGAAGATGTATCTCCAAAATGCATTATAATACTCAACTTTTGTTTTCAATGAACATTTTGAATTGAGTCCAGCAACTTCCTCAACTTGATGTGTAAACTGCACAAATTTAGATACCCTAATGCTCAAGCAACAGTAAATGGGTATAAGTCTAAGGGAGTGTAATTTACACCACCTCTACATTTGGCCATCCCCTGTACATTTGGCCATAGCGTGATGTTGGTTCATGACATTTTATGACCGTGCAGTGTAATAGCAGGTTGTCCGTCTACCAGTATTTTGTGGTTCTCTATGACTCTATCTGATGAAAAAGTGGGTCTCTAAATCATCTATTGAACTAGAACAAAAACAAAATCTCTAAAATGAAATATTTCTGTTAAATCAGATATGACTCTACGATAGGCAACCTAGGTACTTGCACTTTCCTAAAATAAAATAAAAGCATGTTTGAGAAAATATTTTCTGAAAACATGAACAGTTTTATAAGGAGATTTAAAAGGAAGTTTTATAAGGAAACAGCTGTAGTCATGTTTAGCAAATTGCACAATACCCTTAAACAAGACTCAGAAGCTACAAAGACAGACAGCTCAGTAACTGCCTAGAACATTCTGGGAATGGTAATGTACCCTTATTACTGCATACTGTGTTAGCTCCTGGTTCAACAGCTGGATGGTACAGAGTTCCATAATCCCTGGACAACAGGAAAGGGAAATACAACCTGAGGTCTGAGATGCTGCTCTAGATGGTTGTGCCATACCCCCATTTCTCATTATTGTCAGATGAAGATGGGAGAAATGCAAGATGCTGGGGCACACCAGCGTCACTTTTGTGGGGGATATTGTCACCCCACCAAAAGCCAGCATTTCTACAGTATATTATCACAGAGTTTTAGTCTGCTCCTGATGCCTGTCTTTCTAATCAAACTGTTTTTGATTAAAAGGATCTTTTTATTAGAATATACACACTTCTATATCAATAATCCTTTCAGCCAAGGAAGCCAGAGTTAAGCCTCCCTGAAACAAATTTAAAAATACACTATGTCCACTGACTAGGGTCCCCGAGTCTCCATGGAACATCCACAAGTCCAAACAGTTGTCTTTCAATGGGATTCATAAATGTTAGCGTTAACAAGGTCTGTGGTTATAACTTTCCACAATCCAGGGGTCTGATTAGGAGTTGGGAGAGTGTTCTGTGGGGAAGAAAAAGGAAGTACTTAGTTCAAGCAGTCTGAACCATAAAAGGATTTATGTCAGAGGAAAGAGTTGAGACGTGGGGCAGTTCTTATCTTTTCTGAACTTCTTTACTCATCACTAATAGAGATTTTAAAAGCCATTGCTATTTAAATATTAGCAAAAGATCAGCAGGGATTATATATATATATATATAATTTAAAAGAGTATACAATTCAGATGATCAAGGAAGGATATACACTTAAAAAACATGAAGTACCACAATGGATACAAGTTTTAATAAATAAATGTATATTTTTAAACCACAGGAAAATACAAAACAGATTCACACCCTAATGGATCAGTCATAAATGTCTAAAAGCATGGTCCATATGTCTGCAAATTCTCTAGTTTTTCTTCTTATCCAGTTTTTTTCCAGACACATTAGCTAACTCATTGCAATACTCAGCAACATTTTGTTTGTGTGCTGTCCTTTAGTTTCTTAAGCTCTTGGCAATTGCACATGCTGTCAACAAAAAGCTGCTTTTGAGGTTTCCTTCCTGAAGAACCAGCCCCCATGTTTTTCATTAATATCACTATTTTAAAGCAGCATTAATTATTTTTACATTAGCCAAACAGCTCAACTTTAATTCAGATGTGGTTTTTCTGTGGAGAATTTAAACCTCTTCAATAATGGCTTTATCCAAAGCCCATCAAAGCTGATTCCAAATGGGAATCTTTCCAAAGACTTTGATGGGCTTTGGATCAGGCTCTAAATAGTTATTAATACTGGCAATTGAATACATAACAATTTAGATTCCACAAAATCAAAAATTAGTGGTTGACTCAGGAGCCAATTTAAGCTAAACATCCGATCAAGTGTTGTGCTGGTATATAAATACTGTCAGTGCTGTTACCTTTGCAGATTAAAATTCTTGTTAAGGCCCTAGTTCAGCAAAGCACTTAAGCATGTGCTCAAGGCTTTGCTGAATGGGGCTGGATGTAAGTGCTTTGCCCATTACGCATATGTAGGAAAATCCCAATAAATTAGTATAATATAAATAAATTGTAATCTCTTTGATACCCAACACCTGACCCTAAATTAAAAGGCTATTACTGGGCTAACTACACCCAGTTTAAGCGGTATGCAAATATTTTTGGCAATACTGCTGAAAAGGAGAACAAGGACCTTTTCTGAGCCAGCAGAAGGAGGGAACAGTTGGAACCAATTATAGTCAGGACACTGTTTAAAATAATTATAATGTCTAATGTTTTAAGAAAAATTTTTGTATTAAAAATTATTTGGAGGATCCAATCTTCCCCTCCTTATCCAGGCAAAACGCCACTTGATTTAATGGCAGTTTTGCCAGAGTATTCGAGCTAAAGAAATAAAAGGTGACTTGCCTTTAATTCTCTAATTCTGCAGAGTTACTTAACTTTAGGCACTGTGAGTAATCCATTTAATTTCAGTAGGGCTACTCACAGTGGCTGTGTGAAAACTGTACGGACTACATGGGGGGGTGAATTGCAAAAGCTTTGCTACTTAACTTCCCCCTGTGGATTCTGCTGGTGCGAACTAAAAGGTACCTGTCTCATTAACACAGTCCTGTTTGAAAGAGGACTATGTTCGTGCTAACTGTGGGAGATTACGATCCGAACACTTGGGTTGGCTCTGCAATTCACACCCCCTTAAATCTGCACTGTGACACAGTGTAGACAAGCCTGATGCTAAAGTGAAGCATGTGTGTCAGTCTTTTCAGGGTCTGGGCACAAGTCTTTCTGATGGATGGGGTATAGGTATGAATGGTTCTTCTGCTTCTTGAAGTAGATTTTTATTTTGTAAAGTGCAATGTTTTGCAGAGACAGGGTGGTCTACTGGTTATAACAAAGGACTGGATGGCATTATAATGTATCTCCATCCTGGTGAATTTAGGATCTAATCAAAAAGTATTGTTCCTGATTCTGTCACTGATTTGATCTGTGACATTGAAAAATCACTGAGGCCCCAGTCCTGTGAGTTAGGATGCATGGACCTAGGGCCTGTGTGTTCTAAGGTGCAAGATCAGGACCTGAGGTCTCAATCCTTCACTCGGCTGAGTAGAGGTGCATCTCTGAGTCCATGCAAATGCAGGGGTCCATCCCTAGAGAGCTCATTGGAGGTCCCACCCTAATCTCCTTGTACTTCAGATGCCCCATCTGTAAAATAATACCTACCTTTGTAAAGTGCTTTGAGATCCTCAGGTGAAAGGGGCTGCCAAGGCACAAAGTATTCATTCGCTTATTGGTGCTCCTTGGGGAAACTGGAAATGAACACAACTGAAGATGGGGGGCTCTTCTCCCCATCCTATCTGCTCCCCACTCCTTACACTGTGGGGGGAGCCTCTGCCTGAACCTCACTTGCCTCCCAGCCCCACTCCAGGCTGAGGAGACCGCTCCAGAAAAGCAGCCAGGTGGTGGCTGAGGGCTCAGCCATTCCCTCCTCTGGGGCCACTTCGGGGGGCGTTGGGAGAACTTCACTGGAAGGCTTTCTCCTCCCCCGCTTTGGGATTCCCGGTCTCGCTTTCCCAGCCCAAGGGGGGAGAGCGGGGTGGCCACAAGAAGAGCGCAGCGGCTGAGCTCTCTCCTCTTCCCAGCTGAGGCGGAGGGGAGGGGAGGAGCGGGGGCTGGTCGTGTGAGTTCAGGCGGGTCGGGTCAGTGCTGGAAACTCCAGGTCCTGGAGGCTGCTGAGCCCAGAGCCAGAGGGAGAGCGAGAGGCTCCTGGGCACGCTCCCCTGTCCCCCCCCCCGCCCCGGGTGCCCACCGTGGAAGTGCAATAAGGGAGCTCGGGGCGCCGGGAGTAAACTTCGTTTCCACAGGCTCGGAAAGTTTCCTATGTGACCCGCTTCTGTGCCAACATGAAAGGTAAGCGGGGGGGATGGGGAGCTGTATGTGTGTGGATCTAGCCGCGCTTTCACGTGTGGGGCTTGCTCCGCTGGGAGATACCTGCCAGGAAATCTCTTTGCAACCCCCCCCCCCCGGAGGGGGGGGTAACTTCCACTAACTGGCCATGGGGAGGGAAATGGTGCAAGGGGGAGGTTGTTAACCCCCCCCCCCTTTTTTAGATTTATGAAGAAAGCTGCCCTGGATGAGTTTCTAAAGCAAACTTGAGACCAGTCCCTAATAAGTTGTTTACTGAGTCCCTGCTTCAGACGTTTGGATTGAAAAAATTCTGTTCAGGAGAGGGGAGCACTCGCCCTCCCCACCGTTTCTGCTCCCTCCAGCACGTATTTCCTGACCCCCTATCTTTTCGTTTTGTCCCTCCGCACCCACCCCCCCTGTAGTTTTAGAAAACAGGGCAGCTTTTTCTTTTTTGGCCAGTGTTTCGTGATGTTCTTGGTGTTGCTTTTAAACATCTGGCAATGATTAGGTGCCAATGGAGGTTTAACTGGCTTGTGAAATGTATTTGGCATCCTTCACCCCAAGATCCACTGACTGGAAAATATTTGGTCTTTTGCTTTTGCATCTGTTAAAACTGAAAGTTAAAGTCCTCTTCTCCCCCCCCCCCCACTCTTCCCCGCCTTTAAATGGGTGAAACACCCGCTGCTTTTACACTAACACACCAGCTGGCCCTGCTCATGTCCTATAAAGTTGTGACTAAGAGGTATCAGTACACTTTTTAAATCAGATACAGAAGTGGCTCTCCAAATTGCTATAGTTCTAATCTAATAAAGATGTACTAGGGCTTTGCAAGAAGCCCTCCTGTTTATGAAAAATGAGAGCTGTACAGCCAAGCATGGAACCCTGTAGTCTGGGGAAGGTTACAAAGAAAGCATCCAAGAACACGAGGGAAAGTTTAGGAAGTGCTTGTGAGTTTGCAAGATTCAAGTTCAGTTTTTCTTCAGAGACAAAAGTAAACTTTTTAAAATACCAGCAAACCTGCAGTAGTGCACTGGTTTCGAACCTAGATGCCAACCGGCCAGAAACCTTATGATAGTTACACTTAGTTTCCAGAGCCGAGTACAGCAAGCGATGTTATCATTTATTCACATGCCAGAGTAGCTGCCTAAAGGGAGGAGTGTGGTTGCTTTTATTTTTGTTTTGTGAACCCACGCATACTACTTAAATAACTTTTGACATTGTGACAAGGTGTCTCTAGAAGAGCCTGCAGTTTATTAACAATATTTTTTATTTAGAGGTCACTAGTGCCAAAAGTTTTGTCATTGCCTTTTTGCTAGCAGCACTAGTGTAATCATCACCATGATCATCCTTGTCTCTTATATAGCACCTTTCACTGGCAGATTTCAAGTGGCAAAAACAAAGTAAAATAGTGGAAATAGCAAATTTAAAACCATATGTGTTTGATTTTACAATCTTTAACTCAGTGTTTCTTCTCATGTTGGCATTGACGCTTTGCTTGCTTATTTTCTAGCTGTCTCTTTTTTGGGGGTGGGGGGGGGAAGGTGAGGTACCTTGCTGAGTATTACATTGGACAGGATCCTGCACCCATTGAAGCTGACAGGAGTTTTGCCATTGATTTCAATGGATACGCAATTTGAGCTGATATGATTTGTAGTCAATTGCTTTTCTCTGCTAAGGGCAAAAATGGCACTCTGAGAAGGTATTATGGCTTCTGTAAATTAGTGTTGGTTGCTCCAGAAATGCAGCCTTACTGGAAAGCTTCACACTCCTTTTTTACTCCCTAACCACTATGTTTCTTTAAGAAGTTTTACAACTGCTTGATTTTTTTTTATTCTGTTCAGAACAATGGAAACCAATAATAAGCCTTGTAAAATAAAATCTTTAAATTATGGTATTAATAGAAAACATCCTTCAACAAAGACATCAAGTCAACTGGTACTGCAAGAGTTATAAAAGTCCTAAATACTGCCAAATTTCGCCAAAGTAAATTTCGCCTCTATATTTTCCTATTGCCTCTTTAACATACATATTTGGCTTTCCACGTTCTCTATTTAAACTTGGTGCTTGCAATAATTCTAGAGTTTTTGAACCTAGTGTAATCACACATTCTCCTTATGAATAACCACATAGTTGATCTCTTGAATGCGGTAAACAGCTGTCTCTATTCCCGTATCTACCCTCTCTGGAGAACAGAACAGTATCAAAATAATTACATCATCAGATATTTGTAGGGAATAAATTATATTTTTCCATTGCTTGAATTCTTAATGTGTTGTCTTAAATCAGTAAAATAAATTGAAATATATGTTTAGTTTTACTGCCAGATTTATTTCCAGTAAACTAAACTGAGCTCATAAATGTTGCTTTTTAATAATGTCACATTATTTATAAAGGGATTTGACTGCCGTAGGGTTAGTTGTATCTTTACCTAATAATACTTCTCAGTTTTTAAAATTTTAGATATTTTGTGAGTTATGAAGCAGTACTTGTTGTCTAGGAAACAGACGGAAAACAACTTTCACATATTCAAACAACAACACATGTTCAAAAACATTGAGCCCAATTTAACACGGGAAAGAAGATGCAATTAAAACTGAGTGTTCAACTGGACATTTCTGAACTTCTTTATTTCAAATGCATCACTAGGCACTATACTTTTATCACAATTGTTCTGGTGTCAAATATAGTAAAATGTTATGGTTTACTGTGTATTTCTCATATCACTTACTTTCTTGAAGTCTACTTGTTTGATATACACAGGATTGTGGGATACTACATGTGTATCAAAGGTCTTTGGTGGAGGTGAGGAATGTCTGATACTTTACTTGAGAAAAGAATGTGACCGGAATGACATGCCCCATGCAAAGTGCACACTCATCTTAAAAACTGCATGTTCAGTGAGACGTATGGCCTGATTCATCCCTGGTATAGTTCCACTGAAGTCAATAGTTATATCAGGGATGAATCTGGCAAACTGCTCCTTCAGAGCCCTTCTTCATTAGTGTGCATTGACTTGCTTTAGAAGAAACTTGGTACATAAAATTTTCCATTAACCAAGCTTATGTGCGCTCTTTGCTTTATTCAGTATGCATTTTATTGGACAGTGAATGGCTGACTCCTACAGTTACAGTCACTCCTGTTATGATCTTACACAGAGCCATGAGACATTTCATGAGCAAACCTTTTTCTCTCTCAAAATTTAAACATGCACCAAAAGTTGTCTGGCTGCATTTTATATGCATGCATATCGTTGTATAAAGATTTATTTTTAACAATCAAAGAATTCTCCTGTATGATTACTGTTTTCTTTCCAAATTTCAGTTTTCTGTTGCCAGGCACTCTGGTGATAGAACTGTTTTTAAAAAATTAAAGACACAAATGATTCACTCTCCTTGTATTCAAAAACAGCTGAATGGTCTTTCTGCAACCATCTTTCTTGGGCAGAGACAACACTTCAGAAATTTCAGCCCAGTAGATAAAAGATTTGGAAAGTTAGCAACTGAAATCAGAAGATTAGAATGAAATGACCCAGTAACCTTAACTTAGCTGTTATGGTACTAGTAGCTGAAAGACCCTGCTGTAAGAACGGTGGCAGTTGGGCTTAGTAATGCTCCATCTGTGCAGGCTCCCTTGTGCAACCAATGAAATTGTTGCATGCAAATTAGCTGTAGAGTAACAGTGGTGATTGGTTGACCTTCCTCTGATATCACAATGGTCTAGGACCTGGGTTCTCACAAGAAAAATTTTGGTGGCCTCAGAGTGTGGCCATGAACTCTTGCTGGTGGCCGCTCTCACACTTTTTCCTAAAATACTTTAGAAAAAACAATAAATATGCACATATACAGGGCCAATCAGTGTAATTTATTTATGTAGGGTTTTTTGCAGACCTAATAATAAAAATAATGTACAGTTGTATGTATTCTTTATTGGATCTAAACAGAATACAAACACAAATAAGGTGCTTTGCATGTTCTTGTCTTTTGTTCTTGGTTGTTTTTGTTTTTTGCTTTTTTTGGTTGGTTTTCTTTATGACTTACTAGCTAGTAAGTCTGCTTCTGTGAAGAGTGATATTTGTATGTTTGCTAATATCACTTTTCACAGCAGCAGACCTGATAGCTAGAAGATAGTGTAAAGTGATATTAACAAACATACAAATACCACTTTTCACAACAGACTTACTCAGCCCTGGTAAGCCAGAGAACAAATTAAACCTTGGATGGGGAGGTGGGTAAGGAGCCAGCGAGGGGCCAGGGGAGACAGCAGGGTCCAGGGGCGATGGGGTGGTGAGCCCAGGGCTGGGGCAAGAGCCTAAAGCCATAGGATGGAGCCTGCTGCCGTGTGGCCAGAGGACAGAGACCGCCACCCCAGAGCTGAAGCCAGAAGCCTGATCCCTGCTGTCCCTGGGAAAGTGGGGAACTCACACTGGCTGCCTGCTCCTCTGGTGTTTGTGGCTCCGCAGCTCCCCCCAATAACTGCCCAGGAGGCTGTGGCCACAAGAAAAGCCCCTGGTGGCCACATGGTGGCTGCATTTGAGAAACGCTGGTCTAGGACTCTTGCCTTACTAGAGCTGAAAATTACACCTGTGCTTCAGTGCGGGCTTGTAAAGTCAAAATGGATTAAAAATTGAACAGTAACAGATCTCAAATCCTAGTGATGATTCATTCGTCTGATATTCTGAACAAAAGGAGCTCTCAACCATGCTTGGAGCTGTTTCCATCATTTCACACAGACTCAACAAATATTCAGGGCTTTGAGTGACAATTCTGGAATCTTCTTATATAGATTAGTATATGTGTGTAGTGCCATAAATGTACCAGGCATGCATGTACAATGAGACACCTGTGCTGCACATGTAAGAGGACGCAGCCTTTACAATCTAAAGGCATGAGCAGATACAATAAATGTATGATACAACACAGAACAAACCCAAAGCTTTGCCAGCATATGGTCATTATAGTTGGGATGGGTTGGCAGAAAAGAAGGGTTTTTGAAATTTCTGACAG